TTGTGTCTTGCCCTCCTTGTGCAAGGTGTCGATGGTCGTCTTTTGGACAACTGTCAAGTCAGCAGTCTTCCCCATGATTGTGTAGCCTATAGAACTAGACTGAAAGACCATTTAAAGGCTTTTGCAGGTGGTTTGAGTTAATTAGCTGATTAGAGTGTGGCACCAGGGGCCATCAATTTTGAACCTTTTCACAATATTCTAATTTTCTGATATGATGAATTTGAGATTTTCATTTGTTGTCATTTGTAATCATCAAAATTAAACAAAATAAACATCTGAAATATATGAGTTTGTATGTAATGTATGAATATAATATACAAGTTTCACTTTTTAAATGGAATTACTGAAATCAATCTACTTTTTCATGATATTCTAATTTTATGACCAGCACCTGTACATTTTTATTGGAAGTTATCTGCCCCCATACTTTTGTCCTACTGGGGTAACTTTACTGTATGGAGAAAACAAAACAACAGAAAAACTGCTGACTCATTCAGAAGGATAAGAATTCATGTAGTAAGAGTTGATCAGTCCACATTCATTTTGTAATCTGTATTTATTTGCTTTATTTATTTGGATATCTGTGCATAACCATGATTTCATTGCACTGATTCATTAATATTCAATACTAAAATCAGAGGTTATGAGCAGTTTTATATATATATATATATATATATATATATATGAGCTGATGCTGGACATGCTGCAATAGCTGAACAAGGTTCTACTTATTTATTAACCTTTTCCAACAAACTTTTTAGGCTTCAGAGCAAAGAATTTAGGCTGATTTTTACTGTACATAAATTAGCTTTTGTGTTATGTTCTTATGTTTTCCCTCAGGTGTGCAGCTGCATAAAATGTCCATAATGTTTCCCATGACTGCTTGGATGGATTCAGCTGGCTATAACACTGATGCTCCTCTGTAGGGAAGCACAGTGATGGATGTTTGACAGATTTCCAGAGATGGGAAGTAACGAAGTACAAATACTTCGTTACTTTACTCAAGTAGATTTTTCTGATATTTTTACTTTACTTTACTACTTATTTTTTTGGCAACTTTTTACTTCTACTCCTTTTTACATTTTTACACAAATATCTGTACTTTCTACTCCTTACATTTTAAAAAATTGTCTCGTTACTTTAGTTTTGAATCATTTCAATGGAGTTACCGTTATTATTTTTCACGTCATCAATACCAAATTCAATCTAATTGGATGGGAATCTACGTTGCATTTGACGCACCACTACAAGATGAATCGACAGATTCGGCGGTATTCATTCGCGGCAAATCATTGCAGCTTGGTGGCGGTGGCGTTAGCATAGTAGTATGGACGACGAGATGATTGAAAATGAACACAACGGAGATGTAGTCCTATTGGCAGACATCCATTTAAAATGTAGGCAACAGCATGAAAAAAGTGGTTTCTACTTTTACTTTTATACTTTAAGTAAATTTACAAGCCTGTACTTTGTTACTTTTACTTGAGTAAAGAAGTTTAATCAGTACTTCCACTTTTACCAGAGTATTTTTTAACACAAGTATCTGTATTTTTACTCAAGTACGGAAAGTGAGTACTTTTGCCATCTCTGCAGATTTCTAATAATCTACAAGCCAGCTGGATGATAGCTGATATATTTTCTTTCCTAGATAATATGCAGCATATCTCCTCATGCATCATTTGGGTGCATGTAATTCACTGATCCTGCAGGAACAACCATGACTTATTTGCCTCTCATATTGGTCATTTATACAGGGGTAATGTCTGATATTTAGTTTATCATGTCTCTACTCCTGAGCAGTAATAGTATGCAATAAAATTTATTTTATGGCCTTTAATGTCCACATATGTGGACCTGGATCCAGATCGTAAACAGATTTGTTATTGATTGGTAGTGATTAATTAAAAAAGTCCAGTTTTCTTTATACAGTGACAGAAGATAGGTGAGTTTAGCTCTACCTGGGACAGCCTTCCCCCCCTCCAGAGGCAGCCTGGTGTCCCTGTTGGTTCCTACAAACAGGCAGTCCTTCTGGAGCAGGTACTGTAGGGCTCGGTTCAGCTTCGTGTAGCTGAAGTGTTCGTCGAAACCGACCACCACCGCCTTCACTTCAGGGTCCAGAGGCACGTTGGCCCAGTCGATCGGCTTCCCGGACACGTGATCGGGTCCCACGCCGGTCTGCTGGATGCCCACGGCTTCCAGCTCTTGCCTCATGGCCGGGCTCCCCACCAGGTAGACCTTCCCCTCAAGCTTACAGATGGTCTTCAGGTACGCGGCGCAGCAGTAGGCGGTCCCGAACACCTCGTTCTCTGTCACGTTGAAGCCCATGGCGGACATCTTCTCCGCGTACATCTTTCTGGTCTTGGTGCTGTTGTTAGTGACGAAGAAGACCTTTTTACCGCGCTCCTTCAGCAGGTTTATGACCTGAGAGGCCCCGGGGATGGCTTGGTCCCCCCGCCAGATAACCCCATCACAGTCGAAGAGGACGGTGTCCACGGACTCCAGCAGCTGCTTCACGAGCGGCCCAGCCAGCCGCGTGCACTTAGAGCCGGACATTAGGCAGCTCTGGAGGTGTTAAGACCGACAACCCCGGCGGTTAATATAGCATTCCCCGATTAAAACGTACCAAACTGACGTGAGGTAGACGGTGTGTCACCATACGCGACCCACGTCACGTTTAGTTATATTTACTGTGGAAATTCACCGGACTGACCTTTTGTCGTCTCCAGCGGATACACTTCCGCACCGGCTTAAAGGGACAGTAACCCAATTTAATAGGGCCCGCCTACTTGCGGAAGAACTGTCACCCCTTGCTCACACTGGCTCCGGTGCGGTTACCGAGCCGATGGAGACCGCAACTCCCGCACACCCCCTCTCACACCGCCCTTTTGACTACGGTGCGGTGCGGCTCTGCGGCTCCGGCAACAGGTCCGGAGATTTAACAGAAGTTCACTTGAGTTCACGTAACTTCACGCGATAACATGGCCCAAATAAGGATATTTGCGAGAGCTTGTTGCGGAGGTTCTCCGGCACGCCGCAAGGATAGCTTTCTTGCGGAATTTTCTGCAGCGCCGGAGTGTCTCGGTAACCGCAGCCGGACAGCTCAGCAGCCGGTGAGAGAGGTTTACGTCTTTTTAATGACTTGGAATCACTGCGGCGCCGCACCCACCGCACCGGTAAGACCGGAGTCGGTGTGAGCCTAGGGTCACTCAGAGCTATCGATTCCTTCAGTGATCGATTTTTTTTTTAATCTAAAAATAAATGCTTTCAGTAAATGAGGTTTTCTAAATAAACAAACTTTTGCAACGTAGAAAAAGAAATGTATATGGATTGTAAATGGCAAAAACATGTTAAAAAAAATGTATACATGTATTACATATAATACAGTTTTATTATTAAATGGGAAATGTTTACACTTTTGTAACTGTCTTAATTGCAGCTCTAAATTGTTTTAGAGTGTATCGTCACTGTAACAATTTGATTTGATTACCAAATTAGTTGAGGATTACTTTATCAATTAAGCTCCAATAATCATATTGTTTCAGATGTTATTATTAATAGTAATAGGTAAAAGTCTTGTTCTGTATTTAGCTGATTTGGTCAGAATTGTTTATTGTTCCATAGGCTTGGAAAAGTTTTCACACCTCAGAGTGATGCAAACTATTTTGTTTGTGAAGTATAAAGAATTTGATGGTTTGCAGTTTTCTTCAAGTAAAAATCTGAAAGGTGGAGAATACATTTTATTCTTAAAAGCAGTACTTTATAGAACCTCTATTGAAAATAAGTAGCAGTTTGAGGGTATCTTTTCACAAGCTTCTTTAGAATGGATGACCAGCCCATTCTAAAGTCATGATTTTGACTGGGCCAGCCCTAACACCCCACTCTGCTTATATAAACGCCATCCCTTGTACCTATGGCTGTATATAATTTTCTTCCTGCTAAAACCTCTTTTCTAACAGGTTGACGTCATACATCACTCTGCGAATCATCTCCTGGACTCTAATAATAATCTTCAATTAGTTCCAAAGTTAGTAATTCACCAAACACAGCCTTTGTATGTAAACCAAACAGCTGATATTTGGTTACACCTGATTAAAGGGCCTCACTAGACATGTCTCCTGTTACTGCTACAGAGGTTTTGGGATCCTCTAAAGAAGTTTAATCCTATAATTTTTTGCTCTGTAAGTACAGAGCAACGAAATTCACCCTCTGCATTTAAACCATCCCCTTGGGGAGTAGTGGGCTGCTATTGTGCGGTGCCTGGGGATCAATGTGGGGCTAAGGGTCTTACTGCGACCCAGTAGCAGTCTGTGGGAGTGAGCCTTTAACTCAGAACCTCAGGATTCCAAGCGCAATGCCCTAAACTCTAGGCCACCACTCCCCTCGATTATCTTGCTACATGGGCTAAAAAAGTTAAAACAAGGCAACTTGTGAGCCATAAAAAAATGAAGTTAAACTTAGAGGAAAAAAAGGCAATTGTTTTACTTTTAACTTGAACAAAGTTATCACAATATTTTAAACTAAAGTGATGAAAAATAAACGAGTCCAAATTAATATCAGATCTGAAAATGACTTAATCTAAAACATAGAAAGTGATATGAATTGTAAAATTGTGAAAAGAAACATATTCTTTTCTTTTGGGATGGTCGATTTCTCTCTGCAATAAGAACAGGATACAGGTACCCCTTTGAAAACATTAGTTCTTTAAGACAAATTAACTTAATGGCTACTTTTAAGAAAACACACATGGATTACTATAAATTTAAAACTAAAGAATCTGTTATTCTATTTATTTTTGTAATTTTTTAGTATCAGACTGGTATCTATCCGACTGGCCAGACTAGACCTGCTCTGTCGATGAACAAAATCACACATAAATGGACAAACATGGAACAGACTAAATGAAGGCTGTGTAGAAGATGACCAGCTGTAGTGGGAAATTAGAACTATGGACATTAATCAGTAAAATACCATTTAAAAAACAAAGCAAAAGCACAACAACATATATAAAAAAGTGACATTTATTTTGGTTATTTGATTCTCAGAGGCACAAAATTTCAGCTGCCGGGTTATTAATAAAAATACAGCTTGGTAAAGTTGCAGGAATCAGTTAAGATACAGAACATAGTGAGAGTTTTCCCTCTCAGCTCTAGTAGTGTTGGTAATAGCTGTGAATGTCAAACCAAAGGCAGGGTCGTTCAGTTACCCTTCTTCTGGGTGGCCTGCAGAGGGAAGAAAATCTCTCCCAGGTTTCCAAGCAGCCCTCGGCTGTAGTAGTACCTCTTAGAATGATCTGGGACGGGGCCACAAAGGTCATCGGCCGTCGGCGTTGGATGGCAGTGCCGACAAACCAGGCCCCGACTTTTGTACCACTCATTGGAGGTTTGGTTGACAAGAGCCAGGAAGGAATGAAACAAGGTGTAACCAGCAAGGAGGAAGAAGACGAAGATCACGAAACCCAGCATGAAGACAATGCGGGGAAAAGTCAAAAACAGGTGCTGGGGAGACATAGAAATTCTTTTTAATCAAAGGGTCAGTAATGAGTAAAAAATTGAGAGCAGCAGTATGTGTGAAACATAGAATATGTGCTTACCTGTACAACAAACAGGGGCCCAGCCGGCTGCTGCTGGCCAGACTCTTCAATGTAACTGGCTCTTAGAAGCCCTGAACGCAGCACAGCATGAAGCAGCATGTCTCCTGTTAGAAGGGAGATGTCCAGGGCCATGGCGCACACACTGAGCAGATAGAGCAGGAAGTAACGGGTGTTCCCAGCTCCGACGCAGTTGTTCACCCAGACGCAGTGGTGGTCAAAGCGCATTACACACCTGTTGCACACTCCTGAAATAAGAAGTTCTGGTTGAGTTTAAAGCAGGGGTTAGGTTCTAGAACAATTTCCTAAATCTCTGTTCATTCCCCCAAAAAATAGGGATTATTGACGTGTAAAAAAAATAAAATAAAATCCTAGAAATTAATGTTTAAAATGAATGTACAGATAAAAGTTCTGTCTATGTAGATAGCTGGTAAATCAAACCCCACTTAAACAAGTGATTTACTTTGTTTAAATAAATAAAGATCACATGTGCTACTGTTGTTTCACAGATATTAAAGATAATCTTTTATGTCACCCAGAGGTCATTAAGCTAAGAATTGACTCAAAATTATCTAGCCTTTTTTTTTTTAAAGTGCTACTTCATTTGTGTAAGTAAAACCATCGCTTGTGCTGATTTAGTTTTTAAGAGGGAATACTTTTTTTTATTACGGCCGATGACATCGCCATCCCAGCAGACTTTAGTACTGTGTTCGTTTCTTGACATAAAGTTATTGCCCAACATCATGTCATCCCTGTGCTCACATAGAACATAACAGTGGACATGTTTACCTTATTTAGTGGCTCGAATGATTGTTTAATATTTAGTTAATCACCATCCTCCCATTTCCTCTGCTTTGGACCAATACCGTTACCCCTGGCAACCCAATGTCATATGCTGTCTGTTGACATTTCACAATAAAAGCACAGGTGAAACTTAACATCACTGACTAATGCTATAAGTTCCTCATAAAAAAAATAATAAATAAAACTTTGAATTTTCATTTTTTGGTAAAGCCCCAAAAGCTCTGAAAAATAAAAATAAAAAAAATAAAAAATAAATAAAAAGTCCATTTAGGTTCTTCTAGTCGCAGCTCTGATTCAATTGGATTTGACAGAAATCCACCCGATCAGAAAGCACCGATGTTGGGGAGTGTGCAGAGACAGACCGGGCTCTGTGCTGGAGGTAAGGGAGGATGAGCAGGGCTACTAGGACTAAATTAAAACGGCCTTTTTTTAAAGCCACCCAAAGACCTCTTGACAGCATTCCTTATTTCTACCTCCTTTAACCTTATTTTCTCTGTATTCAATTTAAACTGAAAGAAGCTTAACCTACATCCAGTCCGATTGGCTGCCGTGTCGCGATTTCATAGAACCGTTCAGCTCATTTCAACTTCAGCGATCACCGCTCCTCTCTCTCCATGCGGTGCTGCTGTTTGACAAGACCTCAGCTCTATCTAGTAGGGATAGACTCCTTCTGTATAGGGATTCTACCTTAATCCATGGATTTGCTACAGCTAATGCACCAGTGTCAATGCACTATTACATATATTTTTGTAAGTTACTACATAAAGAAGGCTGGACTCACTGCAATGTTTGGAACGGGCTGGTTTGACAAGTTGGCATGTTTCACAGGAGACACCAGGGTGAAACAATCTCCTGTCATATGGATAGATGTGAATCAAGCTGGAGACTTTTCTCTTTGTCACCGTGCCTGATGGATGGAGAGGAGAGTGTTAAGACTGCAACACAGCATCAATCGATAAAAAAAATACATTAAACTACATTTCTCCTTCCAGAAGCAAAATTAAATCATTCATTATTTTTCTAAAACAGATTTAAATGTTCAAGGTTTATTTTCATAACTTGGCAATGAGACAGATGTGAACCTGGATCTGTTTTGATGCAGAGGTAGAAGAAGAAGGTCTTGATGACCAGTAGAAGGTAAGGCACCAACAAACTTGTCAAACTGGTGTCCATCTCCCGGCAGAAGCCAAACACCTCATAGGTGAACTCTGCATACACAGAGCCTTCTAGTAAGATATGCAGATATATGAAAATGTTGCTCCTGAAATGAACAGAATGCAAATGAACCAGGGCGAAAACAAGATGATAAACAAAACTGATCATAATTCAAAAACAAACCTTTGATGAAACAGTTTGTGGAAAATCCAGTGTGAAAACCTCTGAAGCCACTGAGGAGTGAAAGGGGCCACTACCTATAGAAAACAGATGTACCTGAATGCAGCACATGTGGTCCAACAGCGCCACCAAGTGTTGGTTTGAGGGACTGACAAAGTGAACATGACTTACCTGTGTAACATAACTCAGCAGTGCCCTAAAGGGGTTGTTTTGTTGGCCTGAGTATTTGCACACTAGGAATATACAGGTTAGCACCACCGCCACGTAAATCCCAAACAGGGTGAGGAAATCCATCATCCCCCCCTGGCAACGATAACAAGAGGAAACCAACAGGTGAATTAAATGAGTCCCGAAACCGGCGACGGAGCAAACATACAGTCTAGCTTACTGTTGTTTCAGTCTATAAACGTCTCTGTAAAAATTCACAACACTTAAAGCGAATATATTCAAGTAAGGTTATCTGAAAATCACAATTGAATCATTAACGCTAGCATGCTAACTAACAACCCAGCAGCCGGTTGCTAGCTAGGAGGCAGCTCTGTATTTTTTCCTCTTACCTTACAGTTGTTGTTGCTTCTTAGTTCTTATTTCAACATGTTCGGCAGTGTTTACCCTCAGACCCTGGGTTTTACCAGCGTTCCCATGTCTCCTGCATCCGTTAATGAAGCTACTTCCTTAGCCTAATGCTAACATGGTCACGTGCTTCTGCGTAAACTTCAGTACTACTTCTTCTTCTTCTTTTTATGCCGTTTGGCAAGCAATTTATTAATGTGCATTATCGCCATCTACTGGAATGGAGTTTGATTCTGGACGCTTTAGATAAATTCTCCCACTAAACAAAACAAAGAAAACATTTTTTAAATAAAATTATTATAATTAAGTTAATAAATCTTACATTCTTTCTATCAATTTCGTTTTCTTAAGGTAATTCAGTAAATAAAAAAAACATTTAGAAGTAGAAAGTTTGTCCAAAATATCTTGTATATTTAATTGCTATTTATTTTCTTGTAATCGACTAATTCCCTTCTCTCAACAGAAAATTTAGAACAGACTAACAAAACATGTTTTACTGTCTCTTCTTGAAAACAAAAATCACAATTTCCTGTTGGATGTTTTCCCATTTTAAATAATTTACTATTTACCTTTAGTACTGTTTGATTTCAAAACATAAAGGGCTCACTCAATGCCAAGTGTTGATCGAAAATCCATTTATATTTATTATGATTGTAAGGAAACAACCAACAGAAGGTTAAGAAATATTTTATTAGGAGATGTTATATTTTATTGGTCCAGCAATTTTGAAAATATAAATTGGTTGGTCCTTAATAAACAATAAAGTAAGAAAATTTTCTTAGAAAGTTATTCATAATGTTTATCCTGTTAAAGTATTTTTGATTAAAATATGTAAATGTCTACTTTTTGTAATAATGAAGAAAAGCTTATTAATCTTTTTTGGGATTGTAATTATAGCTAGTGTTGCACCGATGCCATTTTTTGGCCCCGATACCGATGCCCGATACCTGGCTGTGCAGTATCGGCCGATACCAATACCATAATAATGTTAAATATTAGCCATCATGGCTTTGTCAAGCTGCTGCCTACCTTTGTGAAGCAGGAAAAATCTAATACAAAGTGAATCCAGTAGAACTTTTTTTATTGCCTACCAGGAGTGGGTGACAATAGTTGAATAAACGTATGGCTCTCAAAATGGTATCGGTGCCTTATTTGTTGGTACTCGCCGATACCGATACCACCATTTTAGGGCAGTATCGGGGCCCCGTCCGATACTGGTATCGGTATCGGTGCAACACTAATTATAGCAACATTTCCTGGAGAGATATGTCATTTTTTTCATCAAAGAAACCTTAATATTACTTTAATATATAATTATATTAAAGTAATATTATATAATTTAAGGTTGTTTTGTTTGGGATGGAGAAATATAAACTTGTCAAAACATAATTGTTTTTATGTTGTTAACTTTTTTTTATTATTTAAGGTAAATATCATATTCACTCCTCCAAAAATGTACAACAAAAACCAAATTTCCAGATTTTATTATATTCTATCAATATCTATACTAAAGAATTGCAACTCTCCAGCACAGATTTGATTTTGACTTTATAAAATAATTGCTTTATATTCTGTAGTCCTTTTGATGTTGTATCTGTGTGTAATTATTAATGTTCTATGTTGTCCTTGTACGTTCTTTGTTTGCATATATATATATATATATATATATATATATATATATATATACACTCACCGGCCACTTTATTAGGTACCCCATGCTATTAACGGGTTGGAACGCCTTTTGCCTTCAGAACTGCCTCAATTCTTCATGGCATAGATTCAACAAGGTGCTGGAAGCATTCCTCAGGGAGTTTGGTCCATATTGATATGATGGCATCACACAGTTGCCGCAGATTTGTCGGCTGCACATCCATGATGCGAATCTCCCGTTCCACCACATCCCAAAGATGCTCTATTGGATTGAGATCTGGTGACTGTGGAGGCCATTTGAGTACAGTGAACTCATTGTCATGTTCAAGAAACCAGTCTGAGATGATTCCAGCTTTATGACATGGCGCATTATCCTGCTGAAAGTAGCCATCAGAAGTTGGGTACATTGTGGTCATAAAGGGATGGACATGGTCAGCAACAATACTCAGGTAGGCTGTGGCTTTGCAACAATGCTCAATTGGTACCAAGGGGCCCAAAGAGTGCCAAGAAAATATTCCCCACACCATGACACCACCACCACCAGCCTGAACCGTTGATACAAGGCAGGATGGATCCATGCTTTCATGTTATAGACGCCAAATTCTGACCCTACCATCCGAATGTCGCAGCAGAAATCAAGACTCATCAGACCAGGCAACGTTTTTCCAATCTTCTATTGTCCAATTTCGATGAGCTTGTGCAAATTGTAGCCTCAGTTTCCTGTTCTTAGCTGAAAGGAGTGGCACCCGGTGTGGTCTTCTGCTGCTGTAGCCCATCTGCCTCAAAGTTCGACGTACTGTGGGTTCAGAGATGCTCTTCTGCCCACCTTGGTTGTAACGGGTGGTTATTTGAGTCACTGTTGCCCTTCTATCAGCTCCAACCAGTCTGGCCATTCTCCTCTGACCTCTGGCATCAACAAGGCATTTCCGCCCACAGAACTGCCGCTCACTGGATATTTTTTCTTTTTCTGACCATTCTCTGTAAACCCTAGAGATGGTTGTTCGTGAAAATCCCAGTAGATCATCAGTTTCTGAAATACTCAGACCAGCCCTTCTGGCACCAACAATCATGCCACGTTCAAAGTCACTCAAATCACCTTTCTTCCCCATACTGATGCTCGGTTTGAACTGCAGGAGATTGTCTTGACCATGTCCACATGCCTAAATGCACTGAGTTGCCGCCATGTAATTGGCTGCTTAGAAATTAAGTGTTAACGTGCAGTTGGACAGGTGTACCTAAAAAAGTTGCCGGTGAGTGTATATGTATATATATATATATATGCGTATATATATATATATATATATATATATATATATATATATATATGTATATATGTATATATATATATATATATATATATATATATGTATATATATATATATATATATATATATATATATATATATATGTATATATATATATATATATATGTATATATATATATGTATATATGTATATATATATGTATGTATATATATGCATATATATATGTATGTATATATATATGCATATATATATGTATGTATATATGTATGTATATATATGCATATATATATATATATATATGTATGTTCATGTATATCATGTATATATGTATATCATGTGCTTCATGATGAAAGTAAATGTCCAAACTGAAATAAATATAATTAATTAAGTCTAAAGGATTATTTTCGATTAAAACTTTTTTTATTTTAGACAAAAACTGTAAGCCATTTAATGCTGATCCCAAAGACTAGCTGTTATTTTTACTTCCGGTCCCTCCCTCGCCCATTTCTGTGCACTGCACTAGGATTTGTCCTTTGATACACAACATATACATTTGATAAACTTAAGAAAATATTTTCACTTGTGGAAAAACTCGGTTTGAAAACTAATGGTTAAGATAATGCAGTTTTTTCCCTTCTTAATACAGTTTTTTGTTTTTCTTAAAGAGCCTTATGGCAAAAAATATATTGCTGTTTCTGCTTAATGTTATCATAAGAATTTCTACTTTATAATCTCAGTTTCTTAAAATACATAACATAACATTAAGCATAACTTATGCTTGGTGGAGTGGCTGCCTAGTGGTTAGGGCATAGAGCTTGGAATCCTGAGGTTGTGAGTTTGAAACCCACTCCCACAGACTGCCACTCTGGCTCTCTGAGCAAGACCCTTAACCCCTGATTGCTCACTGGGCGCCCCACGATGGCAGCCCACTGCTCCCCAAAGGGATGGGTTAAATGCAGAGGTAAATTTCTCCAATGTGAATTTAGTTAAGTTCAGTTATTATCATAAGTCTCCCTAAAATGCACATAGTGTGAGAGAATGGCAATAAATAATAAAAACAGCCCATAGTCTTCCAAAACAGTTCTTCTCTCAGCCTAATTGCATGTACAAAAGAGTTGCTGGTTCTGTTTTACTTTAATAATAAGGTACAACAGTACTTTCGCACCACATGCAGGTTAAAACACATACAAGTTTACTTTGAAATATCCTGAAACTGTGAGAGTTCTGCATTTTTCTGTGCTTCTTATCCAGGGTCGCTCAGAATGCCTGAAAGCATCACAGGATACCTGTTGGATCTGGTTGCGGACTTGGCTGCCAGCTCAGGTTTCCTCCCTCAGGTCTGGCAGGAGAACAGCACTCAGGAGCTGTTCGCACATCTGTGGCTGCTCTCTGAAAAGGTACTAGTTGTGCACAGGTAACACTAAAGGGAACATTTTTATTTTTACCTTTGTATATTGGTATTTTTTTCCCTCTTGATGCTGTTTTTACAGTTTTAAAAGTAGGCTAAGAGGTTAAAAAAGCTCGCTGTATCAGTTTGATGGCTGTTATATTGAACAAACAAAGTATTTTTTTTTTCAGTATGAGTTTGAAAATGTTTGGTTTGTAGTGAACCCCAAATGTTTGTTGATAAAGTTAACCATGTTTAATTATTTAGTGTGTAACACTCGCCGCTTCACAGTAGGTTTGTCTGTCGCTAACTGTTTACACTCCTTTCAGTGTATAAGGCTTCCCCAGGACTTTCTTTTCTCCTGTATGGAGGGTTTTTGATATAATAAAATGTTTTAATTTAGCCACCTATTTTCAAACTAGGTGTTTAAATTAATCCTAATCTCAAGCACAGGGTTAGTTGTAAGTAAATGTTATTAGAGCTAAAGTTAGACCAATGGATACCAAATGGCTGATGTGAAATGCGGCAGGGAATTATTAATATTAATACGATTTTTTCTTTCTTTCTATCTTTTACTTAATCCCAGGAAAATGTTAAGAAGCTAAAAAATATTACTTGAGTCACAGCTTGTACAATTACAACCTTATTTCCATTTTTCTCAAAATGGTTGGATGCAACTGAATCAAAGGCAGCGCTTCTGCATTTCAGCCGGTTGTCATGGAGACATGACACTCTCCAAGTTTGGTACCGAGTGACAAAAAAGTGTAGCGAAAACAACAGTGCTAACTGAGCCATACTAAACATGTGAAAACACCCTTTGTTGTAAATTTCCCGTCATTTCCATTTAATAGATGTTATTATTCTTTAGATTAAAGTGGACAAGCTATTTACAGTTTTTTTATGATCATATTTAGCATTGTCCTGTTAAATTTTAAAAATTCTCAGTACTTTAATAAACATTTTCATAGTAGCCTATACTAAGACTTAAATACTTCACAAGTTAATTGTTTTAGTAGAAACCCATTTAGATCTGGTCTATTCCTATTTGTTTGTGACCCCATCCTGGTGTCAGATGTGCTGCTGTCATCAATGCCTTTGATCACAGATGTTGGAGCTAGGCCTGTTTTTCAGTGTGCTCCTGTTTCTCTGACTGTGACTAACCATATGTGCTCTTTTTTATTCTCTGACATGGGAGCTGGCTCCGAGCTCGTCTGCCTGGCTTTGTATTTCCTGGATGAGGCCGCCTGTGGAGCTGGTTGACAGCTGTCTTTTGTATATCAGCTTCTTTCTGTATGCCTGCTTCTATCTCCTTGAACCCCAGTTGGCCTCGGCAGATGGCCGCTCACACTGAGCCTGTTTTGCTGGAAGGTTCTTCCTGTTAAAAGGGAGTTTTTCCTCTCCACTGTCGCTACAAGCATGCTTGGTGTGAGGGATTGCATTCGAGTCACTAGCTACGTTTACATGCGCAAAATTTCCCCGATCCGATCCAAACCTTGGTTGATCGGAAATTCAAAATCTCCGTTTACATGGACACTAAATGAAATGATCCGATCATGACGTGTGTATACATGTATCAAGCGTTGGATCAGATTAAATCTTTTAAGCATGCGCAGAACTTCCTGACAAACTTGGCAGTTCTGTCTGCGTCTGGTTTTTGGGAGGCCTGACAAACGAAGCGCTCGGAGCGAGCGGAAAGAAAAAAGGAGAGAGGAGGAAAAAAGCGCTTGGCAGCGGAATGTCCGAGAGAAAATGTAGAGAATCAGCGATTGAACCGGCGTGGGAGAGCGAGTGGGCTGTGGAGAGGAAGAAGAGGAAGAGGAGGAGGATAAATTCCTGCTTCCTGCAGCTTTAAATTAACTTATAAGTCGGCGTTCCTAGACTCCCCCCGCCATGTTGTTCACAGCGAGAGCGAGAGAGACCGGTGATTTCCTGTTGTTGACAAGGCGGAAAACGTCACTCTGACGTCGCACACATGCGCAGTGAAGATTATTTTACTCTTTAGATCCGAATGGGTGTTTACATGGACGCCAATCGGAATGGCGATCGGCAAAAACCACCTCTCTCATTCGGAATTAAATTTAGATCCGATCGGACCGAATCGGATTAGAATCTTCAGTCTGACATGTTTACATGAAACATTTTTGATCTGATCAGGCCTTCAATCCGATTAGTTGTGTCCATGTAAACGTAGCCATGAGTCGATGTAATCAGCTGGTTTTGCTTAGAAAACTTTGAACCAATCTAACTGTATGATCTAGTTAAATTGTATCTGCAAAGTGCCTTGAGACGACGTCTGTTGTGAATTGGCGCTACATAAATAAACTGGTTTGAATAGTTTAGCTAGCCACCACCTAGACTTAGACTGTATACAAAACAAAATTTCGATCATACAGCTTTCCGACAGTGAGCAACAGCTTAGCAGTGAAAAAGAAAATTTCCACCTAGCAGTAAGGGGATGCAAATTAGTAAAAAAAGATGTAATCTTAGCATTGCTCACGATAGTCTTATCAATTTGTTAGAAATAATATTAGCAAATATCACAGTCCTAGTGATATCAGACGGGAAACCGTCGTAATAACTTGCTAGCTAGCTGCTAATCTAGCAGCTAATCATAGTAAAAAAGACTAAATGATAACGTTTCAGTTTTAGTCCTTTTTATGCTAATGGTTTAGTGGCTGTATCCTTGTAAATATTATTTATTGATACCTTGTTGCCTTGTATTCTATTTAAAGAAATTAAATAAAGTGAAATTTACCACATCATCTTAGCTATATCTGTTGCTATGTTTGTTAGCTAGTTACTTATTTGTGGGACTCTTTTATTTGCCGCTAGCTGGTTGTCTATTTTAAAAAATTAGTAAGATGTTTTTAGACTTTTTACATGCTTTAAGTTTTAAGCCCCAACAGAGCTGCATAGTTGCCCCTTTTTCACCAAGTCAACTTGGCCTGGCTCTACTACACCTCATGAATTTTCTCCGTACTGGATTTTATTTCGTCCCAGCTCAGGAGTAGACACAATCAGAGACGAGGAGGGGTACATCCTGGTGACCTTTTTAGGGTGTCCCTCTGAAAGCCCATTTTGTTCTGCTGGAAGTTTCATCTTTTGAAAATGATTTTTTTTTCTCCACTGTTACTGCATGCATGATTGATGTTAGTAAAGTGTTTCTTCAGTTTTTATCTCCAAGTAAGTAAAAAAAGTTTTACTAAGAGTCTCTCTTAGCAAAATGTAGTTTATTACTAAAAGTGCACTAATTTCATACCTAAAATCAGGCAGTGCACTTAGACTTTACTTATTCTAAACTATATTTCATATATTTAACAATAGTATAGTTAACTGTACTTGACTATACTATTTACTATTACGGTAACTTTATTCTTTACTAAAGTATACTTTAAGTATACTTTGGTAAACTTAAAAATGTCCCAATTTAGTTTGAAGAAGTATTACTTTAGTAATACTTCAAAGAACAATGTTCGGTATACTTTCTAAACTTATACTTAAGTATTCGTAATAGAATTTACTTCAAGTATACTACATTTTGCTAAGGGCTTGGTTCTTCAGTGGCACCTTTTACTTGTTTTTTTGTATAATTCATATTGGATCAAAGCATTAATAAGAGCATTATGTACTTCAAGTTTTGATTTTCATTTAGAATGTTTCTGGTTCTACTAATCCTATACATACTTGAGTTTATTGCTATTAATCCAGGTTCATAATACACTTTCATAAGTATGACTGGATTTCACTTGAGTGAGTTAAGATGTGCATTGAGGGGAGCATGTTTCTGCTGTATTAAAGCTAGGGGGGGTTGGAGGAGGCCTAAAGATTCAGCTGATAATCCCACTAATCCTACAGGCTAAAGGTTTAAATTGCCCCTACTCTGTCTCCATGGAGCGAACATTTTGAGCGTCCCCACACACGGATCTGCAGAATTCCAGGCAGCACATGCTCCAATTAGTGCTCATCAGGCTTCCTCACAACGACGCAGAGTGATTCTGGGCCAGGAGCGGTCCCTCAGAGAGCCACTTAGCCAAAAGAGGAGGAGGAGGAGAAAGACACCGTGGTGTATTTATAGAAAAAATGAGGCCTTACAACAGCCTTTTTTTGGAGAGCGAATTATTAAGGAACTGAGGTGCGTGGGTGCATGCGTCCCAGTTTTCTGATTACCAGTGTGCAAGCTGGCTAGCCTTAGGATGAATCAGGGATGAGACACAGGACTAACTCCTTGACACACTCACAGAGAGACTGCACCGGCTTTTTAGTGCTCCCTCACCCTTCGCTCATGACGAGGCTGATGGGCTTTTAGGGTGGAGAAATGGGGCAGCATTTTCAACCTGTGTCCTTTTCTGCCTGACTTCAGGGTTGTGGGATTTAAATGTTTTTGAAATTTTTTGCTGCTCTTGAGCAGACACTTTGGTTCCCAGCCTGCCAGCAGGTTATCCAGCAATCTGAACAAGCAAGATGAAGAAGTTTTTGCAAAATAAAAAGGGCAGATATTCGTTTCGACAAAGCAAACGTGGCCCTCGGTGTCCATCTAAAGATTTCTGTAAGTTTTTATATCAGTTCCACCCTGGAAACCCTGCCATAGTGATGTTAATTTGTATTTTCTTTTTTTGCATCGGCTGATCAACCAAATGCTCCATTATTGTCATGATGGGAAAAATTCTAAATCTGTTAAATCATTTGTTTTATGATTTAAGCTTTTATGTATTACTTCTCTACCTCCAGATTAGCCTGGGGGCTTCTGGATTTTTTTCTACGGCATAATTACTGCTTAATAGAAAAGTCTTGGATTTGTGCTCATTTCTGCAGGAACATGTGTCTTCCAAGCTAATTAAGGTCACAATCTCTGTTCATGCCTTTATGTGATTGGCTGTAATGGCTTTTAGAACCAGGTCAGGTTCTGCTGAGCGTGTCACAGTTCAGGGTAAAGGGTTCTAAGGCGTTTACTACAGTCGGAGACAAAGGAGATGACAGAGGCAGGAAACACATAGCAGATTTTTATTTATAAGTCATTAGAATGGAACTAGAGTTGAATTTATGGGCTGCCTTGGGTAAGTTTTAGATTGTGTTCTTATAGATTTCCATTTCAGAAAGCATGTGTGAAACTGACTCAGGAAGATTTCTCTACTGAAGAGGTATTTTTTTATGATAAGCTGCCATTCTTCCTCTCCTTTCTTTTCCTCAATTAAGTCCTCAGCATGCCAACATCCAACCAAGGCTGGCCAGAGGACTTCGGCTTCCAGCTCGGCGGTAATGGACCCAGTTACATCCTGTCAGTGGAGGAAGGCAGCAGTGCCCACCTGGCAGGGCTGCAGGCCGGGGATCAGGTGCTGGAGATCGAGGGCCACAATGTGTCCACTCTGGCTCCGCAAGCCGTCATCGCCATCGCTCAGACTCAGAAGAACATCCCTCCCAGTATTGGGGTGGTGTCCCGTATACAGCAGGTCTCACAGCTACTAAATTCATTACAGATGTGCTGTTATTTTTCTTCAGATGTGTATCAAAATAGATCGGCTCGCCTTTTTCTCTGACATGCCGAGAACCTCATGGATTTTCTGTAAAGTCTTTTCTATCTTCTACAGATGGAGATCATACCAGGTCCAGATGGTCGGTTTGGCTTCACCATTGTGGGAGACTGCCCCCTGCTGGTGGAGGACTGCTCCCCGTGTTCGCCAGCTGGTCGAGCCGGTCTGAGGGCCGGGGACTACGTCATGGAGGTGAACGGCATCCCCGTCAGGCACCATGAGATGGCCGCAACACTCATCAAGGCCTCCCAGGGGAGGACGCTCCGTTTGGGCGTGCTGACTCTGGGTCAAAAGCACAAGCAGAGCACCAGCCTGGAGGACAACCAGATGGGAGGAGAGTGGGCCAGGCTGGATCGCAAACACAAGGCTGTGGAGTTCAACAAGAAGGTGCCTAAATATACTGACAGACGGGAGATATACGTCCACTGTTCCTTAGATTTCTGATTTGTTTTGTCAAACAGCCATTTATAAACCAATAATTAGCATCCGTTTCAGTGTCTACAGATGTTTTTAGGCCTTATAAACCAATTTATGGTTTAGATATTTTACCTTATAACAGACCTTAGTTCTTGTTTCCATTTGGCATACAACATCCCTATAGGGCAGGCCTAAAACATAATACTGCCACCACCGTGCTTTACAGATAATATGTGGTTGTATAGGGATTATAGTCTGTGTTGTTCTCCCTATATTTATGGAGTCGTCCAAGAAAATCATTTCAAACGCTTATGACGTTTTTTTAAAGACATTTTGATCTTCTTGCTTCACATCAAACTGAGTTTTTACATTAAGAATCCCAGTATATTTTGTTTTTTTCTTTTCTTAGAGGTTTGAAGTGAAAAACCTGATTTTTGGTTTGGTGTTTTGTTGTTTAGCAGCACATTCTGTTCACTGGAAATCAGCTACAATCACCCATCAGGTTCCTGGGCAGGTTAAATGAACTGTTTTAGACGCTAAGCCTTCACCGCCCTGAAGCTCCAACGATATCTCCATCAGGTCGACCAGATTTTGGGAGACGATCCAGAGGTGAAAGAGAAGCTCTTCTCTGTGCTGAAGCAATACGCAGCAGAGAAGAGAGTGGAGTGGTTAGCTTCGGTGCTGCCAGAGATCCTCGCCACCGATGAGCACCGACAGCTCATCTCCAGCATCAGGTACAAGTCAGACCTCTACGCCTCTGCGTTCAGCTGATAGACCCTTTGTCCCTGTTTATTTCCAGTGATGCATCACTGACCGTCACCAGCCTGACATGAGATGTATCTGTCAGCTTGTTTTCAGTCAATCAGTCTGTCAAAGGAAAGGCTTGAAATAACTGAAATCAGGAGAAACATCAATGTTGTCCTCTCTCTATGTTCCAATGATGGATTGATCAGAGCACTGGGAAATGTTTAAAGTTTAAGCAATTTGGTGGATCCCCATCCTGCTCCCCCTGTCCCACCCTCTTCTTCCTGAAGAATGAATGAATGAATGAATAACTGGCCTCTGCAGCACCTGATGGCTGCTGAGCAGAAGGTGCAACAGAGAGACATTGAAAACATGCAGGGAAGTGGTAATTTAGGAGCAGAGATGAGAACCTCACCCTGTTTTAAACTGAAGTAGAGTTCTAGAAAGCATACACTGTAAACATGTAAATAACAGACAATTTTTCTTGAAAAAGGTAATTTTTTCCTTGATTTGAGCAGATAGGTTAGACAATTTACTAATGAAATATGATTATTTGCGTTTAAAATAAAAAAAACACCTCAATTATCTTATTCATGTTATGTGATTATTTTATTTTATTCTCTTGGCAGATCTTCTCCTTGACCTACTAATTTTAAGTGAAAATAGGCTGATAAATTCTGTGCAGAGACTTTCTAAACATGTTGCACTGGATTTAAGATATTAGTGGTTTAAATACAAGCAGCATGCAGCAGAGGTTCTGGAGCCTGAACCACGGTGTGCCGAGCTGAAGACTATAAATGAGTAGCTAAGTGTCTATCCTTTTGCAAGGCAGGGTGTTTTTTAAATTTTTGTGTTACTATGAGCAGAGCTTCTATGTTTTGGGCAGTGAAATGAAGGCTGGCAGAGAGAGCTGCCTTCCCAGCATGAAGCCGTCTGTGACGAGGAGCCAGTTTGATGGAGGCATCAGTCAGAGCTCATCGTGACCAGGCTGCTCTGTGTTTGCACACCCCTCAGGTGGATGAACGAATCCCTCCAGCAGGTTCTGTTTGTAGGTCTGGGTTGGGTCGTCCCATGGGACCGAATGAAGCCAAGCAGCTAAGCATGAAATACTGAAACTGTCACCAGTTCCGTTGTTCCTAAAATAACCAGGATTTATTTATTTATTTTTATTCCCAGATGATTTGCTCTTTCTCTGCCTCCTTTACCAAGTCTTTTAATCTCTCCCAAATGGCTTCCTCTACTACTACTACTACTGAGTCTACCTTCAGCTGTTTTTGGTCCTATTAATATCCCGAATGAAGGATTTCCACCAGTGTGAGGTGGCTGTTTTTCTTCATCAGCAGCAGTGAAACAATCCCGCTGTCCTCTTTCTTTCCACCGCCTTTCCCAGGACTTTCTTACCTCTCTCAGTCTTTCAGCGGACTTCTCTGGTTTTGCTCTGATGGACTTTCTGCATGTTAATCTTCTCTGTCACTTGCTGTTCCTGCTGCACCGTGAAGGTTCTCCTGTTTGGGAAATGGTGGATAAGATCATTTGGAAGCGTTAGGTGGCAGATTAAGCAATGAGCTGTTTTGGGTGAGTTACAGTCCCCCTTTTTGTTCTTGGACATTGGGTGGAACATGTTTGCTCTGTAGAAGATGAAGATGAAGCCTGTTTCTTACAAAGCTGTGGCGAAGGTCTGCTGATGTCAGCAGGCTTGGAAACCGTTAGGAAAGCTGGTGGTTTATCAGATTTGGTTAACTTTATATAACGGATGGTTATGAGATTTGACCATCTTGATTAAAATCATCAGTTTAAGGGTTTTTATTTTGCCTTCATGATATGATTCCAAGGCTTTTTACTTTCCTCTAAAACTCTCTGTGAGAGCAGACTTGACGCTGGCGATTGAATCCGAATCATTATGGTCTTTAAGATTTCCCACATTATTTTAAGACAGGATCGTCCTGCAATGATGAAATTAATACCCGGACCAACTATTATGACCTGGAATCGACTATTTTTATTCTTTTATCATTCATTTATCAAACTTATTTTGATGAATCTGTACGAAATCCCAACTGGTGTTTGATGATTAAAGAGTTATGCATTAGTAAATGAGAAACACTGAAGCACGGGGGTGGCTGCATCATGTTGTGTTGGAGTAGAGCTCCTCAGGAACTAGATGACGTCATGAGAGAAATTATTTTATTTGGAAATATTTAAGTTTCTGCCTTTCTGTGAAATGTATCTGTTTTTGTTAGACAAAGATAAACTAAATACACATAAGAAGCAGAACAGCTTCTTTTATGGAGTAGAAAGAAGCTATTAGAACCGTCCTCCCATATTCATTCAAATATTTGCCCTTTTATGTTTAATCGTGAATTATTTTTCATGAACCAAATTGATTTGCTTTAGTTGCACCAGCCACATTCCTGAATCAATAAATCACCAAAACAGAACCTGTCTGACGACATGAAGTAGGTGATCAGATCTTAAAAAACAAAATGCCATCAGCAGAAACAGCAAAATAGAAGATAAAAAAAGTAGGGCTGAAACAATTAATCGGATAATAATGATTAATCAATTATTGAAATAATTGTCAACTAAATTAGAGATTGATCAATTGTTTACTAGAGTATAGAAACTGTAAAACATGCCTTTAGCTGACAGAGTGACCCACTTTGAGCAGTTATTATATAAAGATTGTAAAAAAAATAAAAAAAAATCCGTCCATCCATATGCTCTATCAAGAACTCCTCAAGTTGAAATGTTTGAGTTTCATATGGTTTAATTTTGTAAAAAGTCTTTAATCTTTTTTTATCCGATTATTAATCCATTAATCGAAAAAAAAAGATTGACAGATTAATCAATTTGTAAGATAATCGTTATTTGCAGCCCTAAAAGAAAGTCACTGAAAATTAGAGAATCAATTAGAGAACCTTCCCAGGAAGAACTGGCCAAACAGAATAACTCCAGAACTGCTGACCCAGAGGAAGACAACATCCAATCAGGTTTTGACCTGAAGCTGAAGCTCATTCAGGTTGAGCTGCAGGAAATTATCCAGAAAACGACTGCAGGTTCACATTTGATTGGCTAAGAAAAATCAACTAAACCGAGATTTTAAAGTGGCCTAATTAAAGTCGCGAGTTTCTACAATCTGTTTTTGATCTTAAACCTTTTAGTACGCAAAGGAACAAATCTGTAATGATACATTTTCACTATATGCCTCCATTGCGTCTGATTCTCCACCAGCACACTCCCCTCTTCATCTGTCACTCTAATAGGTTTGCGCATGAATCTTTCAGTGAGTAGATTTGCTTTTTAAAGGGAAACAAATCCCCCTGAGGTTGTTTTTTTTAATCAGTCCTGCAGAGGAACAGACAAATCAGGAGGTTTCTAAAACCATCTATTTCTGGACGTGTCACCTGGTCCACCAAACCCCCATTCTCGGCATCAGAGCCTCTGATCTGGACTGCTGACGGAAATTAGGTCTACTTTTTACAGATTTTGCTTGTCATTCCTCCCTTTTGAGAAATCCGTCCCCTGCTTGCTTCCTCCTCCATAATCCTCCTCCAGACAATTATAGATCTCTGTTCTTTTCAAACCAGGTCAAATCAGAACATATAAGTTTCCACAAGTTGATGCAGGGAACTTTTTGTGATGAAGAGTCTGTTTCAACAGATGTGCTTAAATAATGTTTTTTGAAACCACTGCACATACAAACAAATCCTCCTAACATAGAGACATATGTCTGTCTAAGACCCAGTGGCATCCAGGTACTAACAAAAGCCCAGCAGCAGCTCAGATAGCAGGCAGAGGGGGAGTGAGTGGGCTGCTGGTTTTATAGAACCAAGAACATTTATTTATATCTCAGGAGTCTGCCTCCTGCAGCCAGTAGGCTGCGCTCGAACTGCAGATTCAAACTGATCAAAGCCTGTAGACACACTGACAGCAGCCTAATAACACGTGGCCTACATCTTAATCTGAACAGATTTGTTCCAAAAAAAGACACAAAATGTATAATATGACAGCTTCATTAAAGCCGGGCCATAAAAAGGGTGAGAAAATGCTGACTTGATCCAGAATCACAAATAACTTAAAGGTACAGCGCCTCTTTTTAATGCATGTTAACACTGCAGCTAAATCTGCAATAAATCTGCTAAAATAACTGTAGCTGGATTATGTACTTTATTAAGAAACAATACACTTTATGATAGGTGTAAATATCCCATTTATGGGGAGGGGAGGTCAATACATTTAGAAGCAAAACATCATTATTATAGTTTTGAAACTTTACACACAGTTCTGGTTTGATCTAAGCATAAAACATTTCTCTATCAGATTTTGGTTGTTTGTATGAGCAGCTGCAAATAAGTCAGATTGTTTCAAATAGATCAGAGAAAAACCCCATAAATTGAAACTGGTGGACACATTGTTGGCCTCTAAAAATCTTTAAAACATTTTGTATTATTTCCCCTTGGAAATGAACCTGTTCAAGTGATTTGGTGAAAGCTTCAAATGGATAGATGGATGTCTGACCGGCAGAGTATGTCCCAAGAAATATCTCCCTTTTTCTTCTCCACTTTACAGGTGCTGGTCATAAAATTAGAATATCATGAAAAAGTAGATTGATTTCAGTAATTCCATTTAAAAAGTGAAACTTGTATATTATATTCATACATTACATACAAACTCATATATTTCAGATGTTTATTTTGTTTAATTTTGATGATTACAAATGACAACAAATGAAAATCTCAAATTCATCATATCAGAAAATTAGAATATTACTGAAGACCAATAAAAACAAAGGATTAATAGAAATGTTGGCCAACTGAAAAGTATGAACATGAAAAGTATGAGCATGTACAGCACTCAGTATTTAGTTGGGCCTCCTTTGGCCTGTATTACTGCAGCAATGCGGCGTGGCATGGAGTCGATCAGTCTGTGGCACTGCTCAGGTGTTATGATAGCCCAGGTTGCTCTAATAGTGGCTTTTAGCTCTTCTGAA